TGGTCTTAGTTGGTAAACTGGTCATTATTTCCACTGACATTCCACCCAGTACCTGCTGTGTGACAGGTGCTGCTTGGACAATGGGGATAAAGTAATGTTTAAGAACAAGATCCTTGCCAGCCAGAACTGATGATCTGGCAGTGGAGGGAGCACTGTGACTTATGAGTAGGGCAGCCAAGTGGTTTACAAGCCAAAGTCTCTGAGACCTGAAATACAGCAGACAAGGAAACCCCGACACACAGAGGGAGGGAGAAAAGTAATAAAATAAAGAATCGGAGGTAAAATACTGGAAAACAATGATGAGGAAGACACTGTGGCACACTGCAGAGAATGAAGGCTACGTATGGAAAGAGAGGACAAGTCATTATGGATGTTGTTTCACAGACTAGTACAGAATAGCATTTTTTACAATGCTTTCCATTTTCCAAAGCATTTTCACATATATCAAATCAACCTTGATGGAAACTATAAAAGGGGGTTCTTTTTTATCTTTATCAGGCAGATAAGCAAACTGACACAAAGATAGTTAAATGGTTTGCTAAAGATCACACAATATGTTTCAGAGCTGGTTTTGAACTTAAATTTAACTCCAAATTCAGAGCACTTTTCATCGTTCTAGAAAGAAAACCTACTAGGAGAAGATAGGGTGAGTTGCTCTGCAAACTAGACTGGTACATACCATCTCGTTAAACCATATGCATTGGGAAAGCAAGAAACACGAGAAACACTTGCTGCCACCATCAGGGGAGAGACATACATGTTCCCAGTAATGTTGAAGATAACAGGTGTTTGTGTGGTGAAATTGATATGGATGTACACATCATACCATAACACAACTCAGCAGGAGCTGTGTTTAATTCTGGGCTAATTTTGTTATTAAATTAAGGATTAGCATCATGCTTTATAGATGCTTCAAATCTAGCTCTTAAACTAAATAGCAGCTGAGTGATTCTCAGTGCAATAATCAGTATGAGAATGACTTTATCAAGGACTGAGATCTCGCCACAAAAGAAAATTTAGGGGTAGATGCAGATGGTCTATTTATCCTGTATTAAGGATGAATTTGACATTTAATGTTTTCCTTGGAATTGGAACACTGGATGTTTCAGGCTACAGCAATAACAATGAAGAAAAGACAGCTGACCGTGAAGCTGCAACATCATTTGTAAAAATATTTTATTTGAATCAAATTTTAAATTTAATTTATTCCAAGAAAGTGTTATAATGTTGATGAAACTTGTCTTTTCAACCTCAAAGTCAAACAAATCAGCGTTCCTGAGTGTTAGTGGAATAAAGAAAAAAAATTATTTTGTATGGGAGAACTGGCATCATATGAACCCATTGGAAATCTGAAAGATAAAATCATTTTAGAGCTTTCCCGGAGTTAAGAGCGTCCAGCTCATAGGAAACTGAGCCCCTCCGTACCAATCATGGGCTACATTTGCGAACTGATTAATGACTCCAAGAGGCAGAAAATGAGAGAATATTCAAGTAGGATTTAAAAGGTTATAAAACCTGTCTAGAAATTTACGTGGTTATCCTCAAGGCAAAGTCTGGGAATTTCCTATTTTTTTAATAATAATCATCATCCATGTCCGTGTTTTATTGGTAAACATATCTTGCCTTTTCAGGGATGCTTTGGTTTTCATTGTAGCCAGACGTCAAATATGAAACGAATTTAGGTTAAGAATCTGAGACGCAAAAAATGTCTCATAGTTTAATTTTTCTCTGGAGTCTCACTGTCTCTAAGGGTCTTTTCTTATCAAAGATTAGAAAAGTGATCTAGTATGTAGTTACTGAACATTTGGTCTCTTTGTAACATAAGATGCAAATATAATATTTTTTATGTCTAGAAATCTCTTAAGTAAAGCATTAAAGAAAGTTTGGAGAAAAATTGGCTTGAAGTACTATGCTCACAACATTTCTTCTAATCATACTTTTACGGCTGAAATCTTTAAAGTAAGGCCTAGAAATAACAATACTTTGAAATGATATCTGAGTATATTAAAGCTGACCATGAATACTATGTATGCCAAAAATAAAAGTAGCTTGCAAAATGAGATCCCCTTAACAAAGTACTACTTTATCCTTTGAACCAACAGTTATTTTGAAGCTGTGTTATTGTCTGAGAGATTATGCAGTTATGTATTCTTTATTTTTCATATGAAAGAAATAGGAAGGAACCATATTAAAACAACAGCAAAGATTTATATTTTTAAATCATAGGAGGTGTGTTACGGTAGTAGAAAATCAGCCCCATTTTCTGTATCTTATACTCCACTCCCCCTTTTATTAGCAAATATTATAAACAAAGAAACTTTAAGTTTGAATCCTGATGGCTCACAATCCTAATTCGGTCCACTTTTTCCATCTTCTTTTCTTCATTCTACTTCTGCAATCTTTTATTTGATTCATCACACCTTGCTTTTCTACAGGTCATTTTTTCACAAAATTGCTAGAATTACGTTTTTATAATGTACATTAGATCTTGCCACCTGCTAATGGGTTTGAATTACCCATAGAATAAAATCCAAAATCCTTTCCATGGCTCATAATGATCTGTTTCTTTGCACCTCACAATGTCTACTTGCATACCCTGTATCCCATCCCACTCTTTCTGTGTGCCAGTTACCATTGAGTTTTTAACCAGCTAGCCCACCATGCAAGGCCACATCACACTTGGTATTTCCTCTTCCTGGATTGCTTTTTTTCTGAAGTCTTAACAGCATTGCTTCTTTCTTGTCTGTACTGACTCATTTTAAAGATCACCTTTATAAAAAGACCTTCCCTGATCACCCAGTCCAAGGTAGCTCCCAGTCCTACTCACTATCATACCACTCTGCTTTGTTTGCATTTATTCTTTTACTTAACAAATACTTGTTGAACACCTATTATGTGATGAGGAATGCAAGAAAGTACCTGCCCTTAGTAGAGCTTTCAGTCCAGCGAAGGAGGATATTCACAAATCGTCACTCCCTGGTACTCCCACCCTGACCTCCCACTGTAAATAGAATGGAATATTCATAATTGCAATGAAGTTTTATTCCTGCTGAAATTAAGTGAGGATGATTTTCAGAGAGCTTGTTCTTTCTCATATATTTGCGGCTTGCCTCTGTAAACTTACCACCACAACTGGGCAAGGTGTGACACAGGAACACAGCTACAGTGATCCAGTGCTCCCAAATTCATTATGCCCATTCTTGTGGAAGTCCCATTATCTGCTGTTTAATTTTCTTGTTTGTAAAATGAGGTAGCCTTATCTATTTCACAGGATTCTTGAGTGAATTCATTGTGAAAGTGCTTGATAAACAGAGCACTATCCAAAAGTTGTTGTTTTTTTCTAATCATAATAATGGTTTTCAATTCCATCCTTGGCTATGTGGGCTTCATATCTACACTTTTTTTTTTTTCGAGGCAGGTTCTCTCTCTGTCACCCAGGCTGAAGTGCTGTGGCATGATCATAGCTCACTACAGCCTCAATCTCCTGGGCTCAAGTGATCCTCCCACCTCAGCTTCCCAAAGTGTTAGGATTACAAACACACACCACCCTGCCTGGATAATTTTCTTCGCTTCTTCTTTTTTTTCTTTTTGTAGATATGGGGTCTCATTATATTTTCCAGGCTGGTTTCAAATTCCTGGGCTCATGTGACTCTCCTGCCTCCCAAAACCCAAACGTTGAGATTACAGGCCTGAGCCGCCACACTCAGCCGAGTCTACATTTCTGATAGTTAGATAAACATTTTTATGTTAATCAAATAAAATTAGATTTTTTTATCTTCCCACAGAGCTATTTACCCCTCCCAATTTCTCTGCTTTGGTGAAATACATCATTCTCTTCCATTCTAAATTCAATTAGTCTAATGCCTTGTCAATTTTCTTTTCCTATACCTTTAAAATGATTCTTTTCTGCCTATTTGCAAGGCTATCATCTAAATTCAGCTGCTCACTTCATGCCTCCTCTTGTGCTACCTTCTAAGGGATCTTCACCCTCCCCCTTAGCAAACTTCCTTTTTCCAAATCATTGAGAACTTTGCCTTTATTTCATCAGTTTATAATGTCGTTCCCCTATTCAGAACCTTTGAAAGATGCTACCTTAATGCCTGCATGATGGATTTAAAATTCACTAGTGTATTATTTAAAGTTCACCATAATCTGGCTTCAGTCCATCTTTCCCATTTGATCGCTTCTCATTCCTCTTTCTGACCACCCCACTCCAGCTAGATGGATCTGTTTCCTGTTCCCTGATTCTTTGCTTGACTTTGCAGCTGCCTCTGCACACTTGTTCATGGCTTTTATTTACCTGGTATTCTCTCTTCTCTTCTTTGTTCCAATCCTTTTCACCTTTTGGAACACTGCGTATTTCTCTATGTCATAGGAATCTTGAATTTTTATCTCCATTTCTGTTTTTGACATTGTATTAAACTTTGTGTTATTTTTTGCCTATGCATGCCTTATCAGAATTTTGATATTCTTTTGTATCCCAAGTGCCTTCCCCATAATAGAAACTTACTATATAAAGTGTCAAGACTGGTTGAGGTTTTGTTCTATGTTGTGCTTTTTCTAAGAATGCAAAGGAGACGCCCCACCCCCATTGCCTAGAAGAGTGAGTTAAATTCTGCTCATGGGCAGAGCATTGAACTTGTTGACTGTACCCTGTCCACTTTGAAAGGACTTAGGTCCCCTTTCTTGGAGAACTTGATTAAAGTTTTATCAGACTAGAACATGTAAATTCTTATTTATCCTAATGAAAGTAGTGGCATTTATAAAATATTTTTCTCATGAGATGGCTAATAAACTATGACTCACTGAGATGAATATTAAATGTTATCTGCAGATATTTCTAAATTTGCTGAAAATTTCCCCATCTGCTTCTGAGGGGCTTCATGAAAACTTACCTCTGTTTTCTTGTTCACTAGGTAAACATAATACCAAGTTTGTCTTTGAGGAGCCTACTTTATTTTACTGCTATAATAACAGCATACTTTTCTGTTTTTCTACAGTACTTTGGAAGTTTGCTTGTCATTTTCTGCGTAGAACTGGCTTGTGGCGTTTGGACATATGAACAGGAACTTATGGTGAGTTCAAAATAGATATAACCATAATCTAAAACAACAGTTCAACCTTTTAAATTAGATACTTGTATTAGTTCATTTTTATACTGCTATGAAAGAACTGCCCAAGACTGGGTAATTTATAAAGGAAAGAGCTTTAGTTAATTAACAGTTCAGCGTGGCTGAGGTAGCCTCAGGAAACTTACAGTCATGGCAAAAGGTAAAGAGGAAGCAAGGCACTTTCTTCACATGGTGGGAGGAAGGAGAAGTGTTTAGCAAAGGGGGAAGAGCCCCTCATGAAACCATCAGATCTCGTGGGAACTCACCCACTATCAAAAGAACAGCATGAGGGAAACCGCCCCCATGATTCAATTACCTCCACCTAGTCTGTCTCTTGACATTGACATGTGGGGATAGGGGGATTACGATTCAAGATGAGATTTGGGTGGGGACACAAAGCCTAACCATATCAATACTTTAGAGTAATTTAGGCACATGATTATTAATTTGAATGTTTATGCTACATGATAACAGTTAATAGTCCCAATACTTCTGAAAGCTAACACTTTCTTTTCTGTGTCTGAAGCACATTTCCAAGTCATAATTTGTAGAATTTTCTTTGGTATACTCTGTATATGTCTTTAATTCCACAGGCTGCTTAAACATGGGTATCATAGACTAAAAATAGTATATGTTCTAAAATAATTTTACCAATTTTGGAGTTAATAATAGAAAAGATTCATATTCGCAAATGATTAGTCTGAAAATTCTTGAACACCTACATAAAGCCTTTTAAAATGCTGACTGCAATAGTGAACAGATGACTAGGAAGCCTACATCTCCTGTTTGCAACAGGCAGAACCATTTTCCACCTTAAGTAAGAGGTGTATTTGAAGAGTTGCTGTGTGGTTAGCACAATCTAGAAGCACTCTCACAGTTCCACACTTGGCTACTTGAATATAGCTCTTCATTTTTTCTCTTTTATTTCAGCAGTTGAAATGGCTGGGACAACTTTTATAGCTAGCATAAATGAGCATGAAATTTCTCAGTCTTAAGATTTTTACTAGTCATGTTTGGCTTACCACTTGCACTTCATCCTTGCACTCACTGGGTATTATTACTTATTAACATTTGCTTACTTCATTGAGGGAAATTACTGCATTTATTGCTAGTGATGTCGAACGCTTTTGCATGTCTGTGAATGCTTTTTGTTTTCGTCGAGGGAGGCCAGACTTTTTCCCCATAAACTTTGTAGAGTAATTCTGTTTTAGTAAAATGGTGTTTCTCCATGTGTAGCTCTTGGGCCATCTGCAGTAGGAGCCACCCAGGATGATTCTTAAAAGTGTGCATTATTGGGCTCCAGCCCAGATGTGCTCAGTCAGAATGGAGGGGAAGGCAGGGAGGAAAGGGCAAGGACTGGGCATTTGCATCTGTGACAAGTTCCCTAGGACGTCTTCAACATTTTAAAATGTAGTGACTCTCTAGAAGGGACAGAGATTATATTGTATTTGTTTCAGAGTGAAGAGAGTCATTTGGCAATTGAACAGTAAAATAGAAGTCATTTCTGGTGCTGATATACTCTTCAAAGATTCTTTGGTGAATCTACCATTGTGCTTTGAGACTGTTTTGAATACTAAGTAGTAACCACAGACCAGTGGCTACTCTACACACTCCAATTTACATATCAGTGATGCTTTGGCACACTCACACATATGTTTCTCTGTGAAGACACTCATGCTTCCAGTGTTCAACAGCACTAAGCAAGTAGAGAGTTCCTGAAAAGGTGAAAAGTTAGCTCAGATTCTAACTAGTTTAATAAAAAGTTCAGAGCTCTTATTAACATGAACTCTCCCGTTTATATAGGAACTTGTTTGCTGTCTTTGAAAATCATGTTTTCTCCCCATCCCTGGAAATTTTATTAGGGGATTGAAAAAGTACTCAGCTCCAGAGAATCCGTTTCTGTGGTTTACTGGTCAAAAGATTGTCTCTCTTATTTTTTTCTGTTTTCAAGTGATAAATGTGTCTCCTTGACATTTAAACCATAGAGAGTATATCTTATCATTAGTTCTGGATCCTGTTACCTCAGCTTTTTATTGTGTTCTGTTTGGTAATTAAAAGGATTTTAGCAATTGGTTTACTTTCTTGCGGATTTTAAACATGGGCATTAGAGTGTATATGCCATACTAATATTTGGTAAATCTTCCAAGATACAGCAAGTTCAAAATGATTTCACTTAAGATGGTTGAAATGAAATGTTTTGATTTTAAAATAATTCTAAGAAATACGAAGAAATTGAAATGAATGTATACTTATTTAGATACTTTCTTCTTCTTCTTTTTTTTTTTTTGAGACGGAGTCTCGCTCTGTCGCCCAGGCTGGAGTGCAGTGGCCGGATCTCAGCTCACTGCAAGCTCCACCTCCCGGGTTCACGCCATTCTCCTGCCTCAGCCTCCCGAGTAGCTGGGACTACAGGCGCTCGCCACCTTGCCCGGCTAGTTTTTTGTATTTTAGTAGAGACGGGGTTTCACCATCGTGTTAGCCAGGATGGTCTCGATCTCCTGATCTTGTGATCCACCCGTCTCGGCCTCCCAAAGTGCTGGGATTACAGGCTTGAGCCACCGCGCCCGGCCTAGATACTTTCTTCTATTCTGTTAAGAGACCATCTACGATTAGCTCCTGAGTACTGCAGTACTAAATAGGTGCCCACTACCATTCCAGTTGAGGGCATGCATCACTGTTTTGCTTTTGCAAATCTTTCCCATTACATCACCAGAATGGAGCAAGGGCTGTTTAAAAGTGAAATGTAAAAGCAGTTCTTTAAAAAAAGTTTGTCAGGTTTTTTATTGCTTTTGCACTAATAGCAGTGTGAATGAAAAGTACCATTAAAGTTTATTATCTGCCAAATTTTGCAGAACCCAGCCTTTACATAGAATGGGCTTTGTGCTTTTAGCTGTTCCATGCAAGGAACCAATCAACCTGTGTGTTACTTTATGGCCAGACCTCAGTATTTGTGCCAGAACCTCAATGGTCTCCTCTGTTTTCTTCCACATTTGGTCTCAGATTGTTCGTGGTCACAATAAGGAAATAACCTGTATTTATTTTAGAAGGTAAAGTTTTAAAAAATTGATATATTAACTAAATCAAGTGACTTGACATCAGATAATCTGCTTTCTCATTTCTGTTTTTTTATACTATTCACCTTCTATTCATTATTTCTTCTCTAGGTAAAATCCATCAATGATATAGTTTCAGATTGTACATTTCTAGATAATTTACTTCACTTCCATTTATTTTATGCCCAAAGGGTTATGAGATAATACTAATTTATGGTGAGTAGTTTGAACTTTGACTAGTTCCCTGAACCTTGTTAAAGGCATATATGAACACAGAGTACACCCATTTTGCTCATTATTTGGGGAAAAAATGTGTGGCCAAGTGTTTGGATGTTTTATTGTATATTTCCAAGTAATCAAAAAAAAAAAAAAGTTAACAAAGGAAAAACATGAAGAATTTCTGTGGTCAGGAATTTTGAAACTGCTTCTATTGATATGATTATCTTAAAAAATAAGATTTTATAATAATCCTAATCTCTAGTTCTGTTGGAGCCTTATTTGCTCATGTCTGCCTTTTTTCCTTTTTGGTTCTTGATCTTTGTGTTATTTATTGAATGTCAAGCTTGCTTTACTAAGCCCAGTCTATATTACTTCATAGATCAGATGGGAATGTCCATCCAGTTTCCCAGAGTTGCTTTAATACTATGTATGTAATGAGATTAGCATTTGTATACCTCCATTTCTCATGGCCCTGGAGTAAAATCATAGCTTGATAGACTGACCAGATTTCTGGCCAGCAATGACTGTTGTATTGTATTGCATTACAACAATGACTGTGGTATTGTATACCTAAAGCTCTGTCATGATTAAATACTCTGCAATAGACATGGTGCTAGGTGATTGGAGAATAGAAGCACAGAAATACTTTAAGAACTGTTCTTTCTTTTTTATTATTTTTAATTTTTTTATTTCAATAGGTTCTTGGGTAACAGGTGGTATTTGCTTACATTAATAAGTTCTTTAGCAGTGATTTCTGAGATTTTCGTGCATCCATCACCTGAGCAGTGTACACTACACTCAATGTGTAGTCTTTTATCCCTCATCCCGCTCCCATCCTTCCTCCCGAGTCCCCAAAGTCCATTGTGTCATTCTTATGGCTTTGTGTCTTATAGCTTAGCTCCCACATATGAGTGAGAACATACGATGCTTAGTTTTCCATTCCTGAGTTACTTCACTTAGAATATTGGTCTCCAATTCCATCCAGGTTGCTGTGAATGCCATTATTTTTCTCCTTTTTATGGCTTAATAGTATTCCATGGTATATATATTTTCTTTATCCACTCATTGATTGATGGGCATTTGGGCTAGTTCCACATTTTTACAAATGCAAACTGTGCTGCTATAAACATGAGTTTGCAAGTATCTTTTTCGTATAATGACTTATTTTCCTCTGGGTAGATACCTAGGAATGGGATTGCTGGATCAAATGATAGGTCTACTTTTAATTCCTTAAGGAATCTCCACACTGTTTTCCATAGTGGCTGTGCTAGTTTACATTCCCACCAACAGTGTAAAAGTGGAGAACTGTTCTTTCTTAAATTCTAATATACCTCCTAATTACAACTTTTGAAAAAGTGTTGGCAAAATTATCCCAGAGTGAGGCTTAACTTGAGTCAAAGTCTTTCCCTTTTTAATTCTTTCCCCTTTGTTTTAGTACTATTATCTGCAGTTGCTTAAAAGAGCAAAAACTTCATAGCATTTTGAAGTCAAATTAAGGGCATTTCTCTGCAGAGGTTATTTGTTATATGAAAATTTTCAGTATGTCTGTAGAATGTACAGTTAATTACTTGTTTGTGATTTCCTTGAGCATTAAAGTGATTTCTCATTTTTTTCTTTAGTACAAAATACCTAATCATTTATCACAAAAATCTACACACTGAGATTGTCCAAAAACTACATTGAATACTCTGAGCTAAATTTAGGCCACAAGCAAATATAAATTTAAAATAGTATTTGTCAATTATAAGACATTCCGAGTGTGTGTGTGTGTGTGTGTGTGTGAGAATCTGTGTCTGTGTGTGTGTGTTATAGCTGTTGATATTTTGCTTTTTATTACCAGGTTCCAGTACAGTGGTCAGATATGGTCACTTTGAAAGCCAGGATGACAAATTATGGATTACCTAGATATCGGTGGCTTACTCATGCTTGGAATTTTTTTCAGAGAGAGGTAAGTGCTGCAATTTCTGAGGTAGAGAGAGTGAAGTAAGTGGTGCACTTTCAAACCAGATGTTTAGAGCTTTGACTTTGGTAATTTCCTCTGTGCTGAAAAATTAAGCCTATGATTCAGTAACCTCCGGTGCAATTCTTTCTTGAAAAATATCTCAAGTAACTTCATGGCCTGATTTTCCTCCCATATATACCATTTCCCCTTTATTTCACATGGTTCACATATATTTAAGAACTTCTGAAAAGCCATTTTGCTAAATTATTGTGAAGTTTTCTTTTTATGAGGGTTAACTTGATAAATATCCAAGTTCCAGACAAATAGATTTTTCATGACTTTTAGAGCTCTCAATATTTTAAACATAATTTTAGTTTTAAAAAAAGGATTGTTCTCATTTGGGACTTTGAAGTCAGTATATCGTTAATGGCATGGTCTAGTCAGAAAGACCTTGGTTAAAATCATAGCTGTGCTGCTTACTATTAAGTGAGTTTCTATAATATACATAACCCCGTTAAGTTTTGGTTTTCTCACCTGTGAAATAGTGATAATAAAAATACCTATCTCTTCAGGTTGTTGAGAAGATTAAACGATGTCATAAGTTAGATTTCATTTAGCCTATGGTTATTAACAATAACATTACAAAGTATAGGTACTTTTAGCATTTCTTACCTAACTGCCATGTAGCACTGCACCCAACCATCTTCTCAAGTGGGGACTATATTCAGATGTTTAAAATTTGGTGACTTGAAGTTAACCATTGATCTTGCTTCAAACCAAGCTCTTCTTCTAAGCAGTTTCCTTGTGATTGAAGTGACATTCCCAGATGGATAAGTATTTAATTTCCTTTAATTTATCGTAGTGTTAGGCCGCAAAGCATTTGAGAATTAATATCTTACATGATAGATAGCAAGATCTCTGCTCACTTGCTTTGTCCTGGATATGGGCAGAGGTTCAAGTCCAGGACAATCTCCAAATCTGACTCTCTGTATACAACTGTTGAGATGGTAAAAATTATCATTGTAACACAGATTTCCTGTTTATTTAAGTGCTTCCTAACGTTGTTTATTTTTTGTATATTTGTGCTAAAAACAACACAAAGAGAAAATAAGCATTAGGAAATTTATAGTAAGTTATGTCAGCTACTGTCTTGAGTAGATGCTGCCCAGAGCTTGTTATTTTCTGGAATTTGTGATGTAGACAGTGATAATCCAGGTTAAAAAACAAAGTGAGTTTCTTTTTTTTTCTGATGGGAGTTCCACCTAGATGGACAATGTACAAGTACTGCAAAAGATAGCACACTTATTTTTAGATTTGTTACATGGTAAGTTTCCTCCTCCATTATCATAAGACTGTTTTGTGTAAATGGAGAGGGTGAAGACCTCTGAGAACGTGAAAGAGTTTTTTAAATCCCTTGTATTAGTTTGCTATGACTGCTTGCAGATGGCCATCTTCTCCCCGTGTCTTCACATTGTCTTCCCTCTATATGTGACTATATTTAAATATCCTCTTCGAATAAGAACATCAGTCATATTGGATTAGGGCCCACCCTAATGACCTTATTTTAACTTAACAATCACTATTAAACACTCTATCACCAAATGCAGTCACATTCTAAGGTACTGGGGGTTAGAATTTCAACAAATGAATTTGGGTGGGGGACACAATTCTAGAATAACCTATATTGCAGAAAGCAACTTTATCAGGTGCCGGTTTCCTTTGCTCCTCATTCAGTGCAATTCTGTGCACGTACCTCAACTTAGCAGACTCTCACTTAAGCCCCATTGGCGTTTATTTAATACCTTTTTAGAATACTAACTTTAAAAAATGTGTTCATTTATTTATTTTAACATAGTAGTTGGAGCATAGGCTTTGGAATAGACTGTGCCACACTCTGGCCTGTAACTTTAGCAAGCTACTTGACCATCAAAGGGCTCAGTTTACTCATATGTAAAATGGATGGTATTTTCTAGAGCTTGACACATTAGCAAGAGTGGTACTATCTCACAACACAATATTAAAGGAGACAGGAAAATGACAAGGAGATGTAAACTACAGTAATATCTTGGTATGATGTTGGGCTTACTTAAAGGAGTTCTCAGAAAAAGTTTCAGAATAAATTCAGTATCTTCTGTTGAAGACGGGCAATTCTATACAAATACTTACTAAAATAAAAATAAGTTCATCACTGAACATTATATACTTATAATAAGAAAAAACATATACTTATATTTGAGAAAGTCATTTATGTAGAATATCTCATTCCCTGACACAGCCATATAAATAGGCTGTTCCATGCTGGATGGAGTTAGAGAGTTCCAAGAACTGTTCTGTCATCAACACAGAAAGGACTCATGTCATTAGCAAAGGAGAGAAATGAATTTTCTCTGAGTGTAAGGATTTAAAAAGATGGACATGGAAAGTTAATGTTTCCTTGTTTATGATTTTTATGAAGTGAAGTCTTTATACTACATATATTATTTAAGGATATTTAATGTATTGTGTGAAATATGTAATGTCAAATTATTGACTAAATTTGTGATGTTGATAGTATACTCATGACTTTGAGAGCAAGTTTAAAGAAGAAAAATATATGGAAAGTATTTTTTAAGTTTCTCAAAATTTTCATATTACCCATACTGTTCAGTAATTCATCATTTATAATCCTCTTAAGGTGATTTTGTTTCTGTTTAAAAATCAGACATTTAGACCAGTGTAACAACACAGAATACTTTGTAGTATTCTTGTTGTTTCCTTTTGCATGAGAAGTCCAGAATTCTTCAAAATTAATTTTAGTTAAATTTTGAAATGGTGGGGGATTGTGATATTTTATGATACAATGTGAAACCTGAACATAGATTGATCTGTTGGACTGCATGATTTGCATAGCCAGTCACTCGGCAAAGTTCTCGGTGACTGCCCATAGTCCTTGTTTCTGGCTAGAGGGGAAAGAGCAACCTCCCTCTCTACTCAAGGACAGAAAGTTATTCATCATAGATAATTGTTCTGAATCTAATCTATAGAGGTCCTTAAGCAGTGCTTTCAAACCTTGATCAGAGAAAGCTTTTGCTAATCTTTGGGGAAATGAGATAAAAAAGAAAAAATGTCAATATAGTTTTTCTTAACTCCAATTTTATTCAAGCTAAAGGCACACCATTTCTTCTGAGATTGTGGTAATAGAATATGAACATTTATTTCAAGAACCTTAGTTGAATAAACACTAATTGGCCAGACCTATGTTTATTTCTTAAAGTTTTTGGATATTTGACTAGCTGAGGAATCGATGTCTGCTAACTTTTTGTGATGTGGGCTTTGGTCGACACATGTTTTTACAAAGATTACAGAAACTTTTAATATAATATTTGAATATGTTGAGCAATAGAAAAATTTGATCAACTGGCCCTTGGTGGTTAGAGGTTTAATGATAAAGATAAGGTGTCACCTACTTGGGTTTGTTAGTGTGTATGTTCAGTCTGTTGCTATGTATAGTCCCTTGTAGACAAGCTTACAGCTAGGGAGTGAGTCTCAGTCATGCCTGATTTGTTTTGATGTGTTACGGGCATTATTACTCAGAATTCTTCCATTATGCAATGGTTAGCCATGGTGTTCCTTTACTACATTTCTATCATCAACATAGACTGTACACATATCATTAGGTGATGACAGATGTAGCTCTGGGTACAAAAATTTAAAAAAACTGATGTTTAATCTCCTATAAGTTAAGAAAATAGTTTTGTGGTTTCTGAGGCTGACTAGTGATTTTTTTTTTTTTTTTTTTTTTTTTTTTTTTTTTGCAGTTTAAGTGCTGTGGAGTGGTATATTTCACTGACTGGTTGGAAATGACAGAGATGGACTGGCCCCCAGATTCCTGCTGTGTTAGAGAATTCCCAGGATGTTCCAAACAAGCCCACCAGGAAGATCTCAGTGACCTTTATCAAGAGGTAAGGCCATATATGGTTAATTTATTATGGATAAATGTTTTCTTAGGAATAACTTTAAAGAATCAACAATATGCCAATGAAATTTTTCTTCTCTGTCTAAATATAAAAGGCCTTAAAATTTTCTCTGATATGGGGAGAAGAAGAAGAAAGCTAAAAAAAAGTATAAAAATCTAAACACTAATCATATTTTAACAAAGATAAGTGGGAAAGACCAGGTTTTGTAATTAATTGGATTTTGAACTGTTTTGTTTTGAATCAAGTTCCGACCGCTTGGGAATCCTTTGAAACAGACACAGGCAGAGTATGTAGCTCACACTGGATATGCAAGAAATGCAGGGTTTGGAGTTCCTGGACAGAATACGTATTTTAAGAGCCTCCACATAGACCACCAACACATAGAAGGGGGGAAAAAGAACCTCTCCAAAGAAAACGCAACCGTGCTACTCTTCAGCTCCCCCTGCTGGCTAATGATTAGTGATGCCAGTTTTAGTTCACTGATTAAGTTTTATGCTCACTGGCAGTAAAGTCAATCCTCATGTGCCCAAGAAATGTACATACTTGTGTTTTCTGGGAGAACTGATCAGAATAATCAGTTAATCCATTTTAGGAGAAGTTTTCCTATTCATTCATTTTTACTGGTGATTTTCAAACTTTGTTAGCAGTAACATTCTATTTTCAAATTAAAATCTAAGACTGCACTGTCCTGTACGATAGCCAAATAGCTACATGTGACCATTTGAATTAAAATTAATGAAAATTAAATGTCTATTCCTCTGTTGCACGAGCTACATCTCAAGTGCTCAACTGCCGCTTGTGACTAGTGGCCCCTGTCCTGGACAATGCAGATATAAGACATTTCCTTCATCACAGAAAGTTTTGTTAGGCAGTATTTATCTGGAATGGAAATGCAAAATGTGAATCAGATAGAAGGGAAACTGCTTAGGCTAAGGGGTTGGGATCATTCCCCAGATACATCTTTAGTCAAGTACCTGGTATCACAAGGTGCTGCTCACACTATTCATAATATAAAGCATGTATATATAGTAGGGCTATAAAGAATGAACACAAACTACATCAGGATTTATAATACATGCATTTTGATATATTTCAAGGTAGTTATCTTAGGAGGCTATACTTTTTTTCCCTAGGAATACTACCATTCAAAGCATCTCTTAGACTGTCTGCCAAAGCAGTTGTTGAGATGGGCAGTCAATTTATATTGTAAATTAATTAATTTGGATGTTGTAATTAATTAAAAGAATGCTGTACTACCTACACAAGTGATCCATTATATTCAGTAACTCTGGGCTGTTACTCATATCTCAGAGGACAAGAATATGTCACCATTTAAGGATATCCAAAATAAAGTGCTTTGGACTCTGAAGGCATGCCCCAAAGGAGAGTGCCAAGTATTTTTTAGGAGTTTAAAAACTGTTATAATTTCCTAGAGCTGCCATAACAAAGTCCCACAAACTGAGTGGCTCCGACAATGTAAATTTATTGTCTCAGGTTTCAGGAGGCTAACTCCAAGATTAAGGTGTCTGCAGGGTTGATGCTTCTCTCCTAGCTTCTGGTGGTGTGCTGACAATTTTCCCGGTTCCTCGTCTTTTAGAAGCATCACCCTGATCTGTTTCATCTTCACATGGTGTTCTCCTTGTGTGTGTGTCTCCAAATTTTCCCTTTTTATAAGAACAACAGTCATATTGGACAAGGGGCCCACTTTCCTCCAGTCAGACCTCATCTTAGTTACATCTGCAACAATCCTACGTTCCAATAAGATCACATTCTGAGGTACTAAGCTCTTTAACATATGAATTTTGGGAGGACATAATGCAACCGATCACAAGGATTATGGAAACAATTGAATAATTCAGGCTTTTTATTTTAAAAGATGATCAGAATACTTTTTGTCATACTCACACTGCTGAGAAGCATTGTGTTTGGATGTTACTGTTTTATACATACTTTGTTTAGAAACATTTGGCTTTGAATGAAAACGAATACACAAGATATAGTTTATTGAACAGAAAGTTGTTGGGTTAGTGTCTGTAGGTTCTTCAGTGATTATGGCACTGAACCTAGTTCTTTTGTTTTGTGTGAAAGCTAAATATTGGCTAGTGTTTGTAGTAGCAATCATCAACTAATAAATGCAGCAAACTCCTGCTTATTCCATAAAACAGAAAACAGTACTAATATTTCTGAGGTAGTATTATATAGAAATATATTATGGATATTCAAATATACTATAACTCACTATTAGACATTAAAAGAACAGTACAGGTAGAAGTATAGATGTGTAAATTGAAACCTACTAAATTTCCTAGTGTGAATTGTCCATCTGCTAGTTTTTACCAGTAGTAAGTCAATATGGACAATTATTGGGCCACAACATTATGATATAATTTGTATCTGCTTTAGGGATTAATACTGATGCTATGATTATAACTACTATTGATCATGAGATCAACTTACCAGATCTTCCCATAAAGTCTGAATATGGACTAATTCTCTTCAGTTTTACTTTATTTAGCTGAAGACTGTCCTTCATTAAACATTTAATATAATTTTATTGTTGTAAAAATACAATTCATCTTTACTAGTTTGTCTTAGATTGTTTTTACTAATAATACTACTTTATAATGGGATGCTTTACTTTCAGGCTATCTATAATTGCTTGCTCCATGAATTTTGAAATTGAAACAAGCCATACTATTGTGCATGTGCAAGTTGATAGCCCAGATTATTTTGAAAATTTCTCATATTTTTATCTAAAGAATTTTAATAGTAAGCTGGCATTGTCAGCCATGAGATGTTCTTTAGACACAGACTTCCAGCTAAGATGGGGGCTTATTATATCAGAGTAACCTGCTTTTGCGTTTTACAACTAATAACATATACTGATATTGGTAATGATATAGTATGCAATTATATGCATAGTTGACTTACAAAAGAGGATCATATAGTAGTTTTATGGCATAAGTACAATTAAATCTATAATTAAAAATAAGACATAATTCCACTTTGCCCTGGAGAACATATGTTTCCTAATTACAGTGTGTCCAGAGATCGTTCAGTAGGAAGATGAGGGTTCTAAAGGGAGAAATAAGTGAGGAACAGCTGGAGGTATTTGGGATGTTTATTCAGAAGTTGAGAGCACTGAAGGGAGATAGTTGAGATGTCTTCAAATATTTCAAAGTTCATAATTCAGAACAGGAACTAGACTTACACATTGTTGCTCCAAGGGCCAGAAGTTACAGGAAGGAAATTTTGAATCAATAGAAGGAAGACCTTGCTCATCAAAATCCGTCCAATTGTGAGACAGGTTATCTTGTAAAATAACGAGTGTCTCATCACTAAAAATATTGGAGTCAAGGTCAGATAACCATGTCATTGGTAGTGTAGAATGGTTTTTTAAATTAAGAATGAATCCAGACTAGATGAACCACAAGGTCTCTCTTATCTTTCATATTCTGTAAGCTCAGAGATAAAAACTGGCTTTCTTCCTGCAATCATTCTTCAGTAGTCTGAAATCAAGGAAATAAATCATTCTCAACCATCTGGTGGCCTGCATGGTCCCTGACCCAATAATATTTTATGACGCATTTGGAAACCTGTGAAAAATGACAGCAGAAATATAGCGACAATTGCACATTTAGAAATATTCAGGAGCCTTGTTAGGTTTGGCACACAGCTCTTCAAATATCCATAATAAGCTACAAACTTATATTAAAGTATACGTTTAAAAATCTGTAATGAAAATACCTCTGACCCTCAGTTTGGAACTATCACATTCACTCATTCAAAATGATGATAGGATAACCAATATTCATTCAGAATATTTTGTGATTGCCTACTGGGTTCCATTTGCTCTTCTAAATGCTAGGTATATAGTGGAGAGTGTTGCAGACAAAAATTTCTGCTCCTTTGTAAATTATATTCTGGTTATGGATACATACGTTTAACAAGAAGAAAAAACAGCAATAGAAAATAATTTCAGGTGATGGTAAGCACTTTGAAAACTGAACAGGGTAATGTGCTGCAGTTTTGTTGGTGAGGGAGTTACTTAAGATAGATTGTTAGGAATAGACCCTCTTCTGTGTGGGTGATATGTGAACTGAGACCAGTTGAAGCAGCCATGCTGGGGAACAGTGTTTTTGGCCGAGGAAACTGCAAGTATAAAGGCCCACCCTTGAGTGGTCTGGGCCCGTAATTGCTGACAGCCCACTCCCATGTTCTTTGGAATCACCTGTGTAACCACACTCTAAATGCGAGGTGTAAGACTTGGCCTTGGCAAAATATCAGACTCAGATTTAAGTTGGCAAAGCACAAGCCTATGGTATCTCTTGTCTTCTCTCACATGCTGAGTTTTTCATCATATCGGTTACTGTAGTGCAGTGTCTTGACTTGATTTGGAGAAGAGAAGCATAAATCAAAGACATAAAGACAGCAGTTAGAAAATCAGTCTTTATAGAGCAGGGACTCTCAACCTCTTGCCCAGGGACCGGGGCTCTTCTTGGATGGACTTCAAGGAAAAAGTGATACTGCAAAAATTGTTTCCAACATTTTATATCCATTTTTTTTTTCTAGGAAATAAGAGCCATAGCTTTCATCAGCTCTTCTTGGGGTTCCACATGTAAAAGAATGAAAAAACACAGTTGTAAAGAATAGTTGCAGCACTTACTGTCTCAGATAGGAAACTTAGCATAAACAGCCCCTCTAAAAGGCTGAAATGCCATTTTCCTCCTCTCTGTGCTACGTCAAGAAAAATAAATGGAAGTAAACAGGCTCACAACAGGCTCTGCTTCAAATGGACTGACTCAAAATGTAAAACAAAGAGGGACAGAGCGTCAACTAAAATATACCTCCAGAGACACGTTTCTTTGTTTAGTAGTTAGAAGCTTTCTTCTGTTCAAATATATTGGATGCTTCTTCAGAAAAGTAGTATTCCCGCAGATATATGTAAGGGCTGGACACAGACATGTCCTCCACACTTGTGTGCC